TTGATTTGCTTTACTCACCCTCTATTCCTTATTTACTTTTCCTAAGCTCTTTAGTTGTGAAGCTTTCCAAAAGTTTCCAAAAGTCAGTGCGCACTTTCTTTATAAAATCCCCTTTCTTTATAGTGCTCCATTAAACATTTGAAGATGTCCATTGAGATTTGATGCTTTTGGATGCCTTTTGATGGAGATGTCCATTAAACATTTGAAGATTTCCATTGAGATTTGATGCTTTTGGATGCCTTTGGATGGAGATTTCTATCAAAACTTTTGAGATTTCCATTGAGATTTGATGCTTTTGGATGCTTTTGGATAGAGATTTCTATTCAAAATTTGGAGATTTCCATTGAGATTTAATGCTTTTGGAGGCTTTTGGATGGAGATTTCTTTTAAAACTTTTGAGATTTCCATTGAGATTGAATGATTTTGCAGGTCTTTGGATTGAGATTTCCATTGAAATTTAAACAGTTAGTTCTACTTCCATTGATTCATTCCCTTTTATTGTAATTAGTATTCCAGATGTCTTCAAAGTTAGGAACTCTTATTTCCTTTTAATTTAATATTGCCAGAGTAGCTCTAGAGGTAGCTAGCTAAGGATTCCTTATTTAATTATCAATTGATTGATTTTCTTATACATTATTTTGGAGGCCTTGGTTGTTGAGGGGGGGGGGGGGGGGGGGGGGTTTATAAATCAAGGGACTACATTAGTGGGCCATGGACTTCCAGCCGCGATTGTTCACTTTCTCGCCGCCATCGCCAGCCACTCACTCTTCTTTAGCCAAACACTCGCTCCCGTCGTGTTTCTCTGTGTCCAATCCATCATCACCTATCTGACTTGGCGAGTTCAGCCGACCCAAGACGTATGTGCTACACGTTCAGCGCCTTCGACCCACAACACTGGTCGGTCTTTTTTCCACGGGGTCGGTCTCCATGATTTGAGCTACACACCCAGGTGGAGACCATGTGACCACGGGTCGCACCTGAAAAGTACCTGCGGGGTCACCTGGCTCTTCCAGCCCGTTACACGACTTAGGGTCTCCAGCCAGGACACCCCGAAAGAAGGTCCAGGTATGAATCATTCTTCAGATTGAGCCAGTGGCCCTCCAAGGCACCCGGACCAAAGTGAAGCGGAAGGAGGCCTCTTGTGCCAACACGCCTCGACGCAGCCGCGTGAAGGGCCCCCCCAAAGACCACGAAGGACAGCACGTTCCTTGGCGAGGTGGAGAGATTCGCTTGCAGGGCTCGGAATCAGCTAGACTCCCTTGGTTTTAGCTGGAGGAACATCAATGAACAACATTTTTTTTGCGGCCTTCCATGTCCGCAAATGGAATGAACATCCATTACAGTATCCATTAAGCCACTTGAGTTCACCACCTGGAAATCATGGTGGAAGTGGATGGAAGTGGAGTGAGTGAACTGCTGGTCCAAACGGAATGGCTGCAGGTCCGAGCTCCACGGGGCGAGGACGTGATGTTGCAGGGAGTGGATCCGTAGGAATCTACAGGGTAGCGCAACTGGCTCGGTCAGATCTTGCAAGATAGTCACCAAGCCCAAGACATGAGACATCAATTGTGTGAAACACCTCGTTTTTCAAACATCCATCAACCGATTTATTTTTTAGACATCCAAATCATCAACCTATACTATGTATTTATGTTGAGACATACATTACATTGGTATCCGGTATCAGAGAAGAGGAACCTGGCGCATTCTGCAAGGCATTTCTTCAGCGAACCATCACCTCCAACTGGGCACCTCCAACTGTCTGCGTCGGTGCTGGACTTGTGTAGAAGTGAGTTTTTCGTGCTCCTTCTTCATGCGGCAAATGAACATGTCCTATATGCATCCTTCTTCAAATCCACTTCTTTTCAACTGAGCTTCAGGACCAAGGAATATATCACAATGAAGTAGAACAAGTCATGGGAGATGGAAATCAAGATACCGGATTGGACCGCGATCAGCAGCACTTGCTGTGCCACGGTCGTGGCAAACTCCAGGATCCTCAGCGCAAGAATCGAAGCAGCAAGCAGCAAACATCCGAATTGCTAGACGAGTCATTCACCGAAGTGGATGCCATGCCAAGCGATGTGTGACTCACTCATGTTGGATCGAACCAGTAGAACTACTGACCGATCAGGTAGTTCGTCAGACGGGTGCTTGTTTGATAGTGATGGTTCTCACTTTGGATCAACCGAATCCATGTTGGGACCGAATCCATGGTCAGAGCCAAGTGTGCACCGCGAATCGCCGATCTCGATGCGAGACCAAGCAGCGTGTCGGTGAACTCCCCTGTGTCCTGCACAGGTCACCCCTTAACATGTAAGGAGCTATCAATAGAAGCCCCTTAGGGTGTCCTGGTATGAAGTCTATATAAGCTTGCGTACCTGCCTTCTGAGCTTGTGGTTATTCATTCAATACCCAACTTAGTTTCACCGATTCACCTGCTGGGGGTCTTGAACTCATGACACGTCTTTCCGCTGGTCTTCGTGGCTTTCCGAGCCTTTTTCAAGCGCAACACGATTTATGAGATAAAGCCATGGGATCAGCATAATTACTCTGGGATCTCGCATTTTGGATGCAAACATCTCCAAACCCCATTGGCACAAAAAGAGCAGCTCCACCTCAACACTCTCAGTCTCACTATTACTATTCTATGCTCATTATAAATGTCATTTCCGAGACATTGAGAATCGATCTTGCCTGCACAAACTACTTTCACACCTGGTCCAATCCATCCCAATCCACACATGCGAAAAGCCCCGTCCCATGCGTCCAACCCAAAGACCGAACGCGCGTGTCGTCTCGCGATGTCTACGCGTCGCGTGGTGGGCGGTTTTTCCATCGGGGCGTCCTGGGCGATGCGTTGATCCGGGTTGTCCAAGTTCCGACCCAGCAGTTTTAAGCCTCAGATCTGCGCCGGATGCGCCCCCATGCGCGGGACGCGCGTGCGACGCGGAGGTGTACCAGGGGTGCGAAACACACCGCCAGCACTATAGGCAAAACGGGAGCTGCTGGGAGCTGCTCGAAAGATTTGGACACGTCGAGCAGCTGATGCGAAGCATTGCGAAGCTGATGCGGATCACGGATCTCTAGCACAGGTCCTATTTTGCTACGTTTTGTCTCTGCAGCTGGTTGAAGCAGCTAAGCTGCTTATTATTGAATCACACTCAGAACGGACTACACATGACTACACATGCGAACGAAACGATGTGGTCTCGCGGTCTCTCTCTGGAGGTCCGTCTGGAGGTCTTGGTCGGTCTCTGGGATGTCGGAAAGTCTCCCTCTTTTGAGACACGAGGACACACACGAAAAAGCACACGCTATCCAATGGCTTCCAAAAACATCCAGCTCTCTCCTTTTCAGTTGGAGAACTTCAAGTGTAGCGCACCTGCGAACCCAAGGGATCTCACAAAGTGTCATGATGAAAATAAGAGACGAGGAGACCCAGTGAAATCTAGTTATACTGTAAATTTGTTGCATGAAACAAGGGAAGGGAGTCAATCTATCGAAGCTTTTTATATTTTTGGACCATGTTGTTGTAGTGTTGTCAACGAAGCTTTGGATGTGTTTGTTGATCGCCCATGTCATGTGGTCCATGCACTAGTACTAGGTCTGGACATACTGGGCCAAGAATCATACCGGCGCTCAAAGCTACCAAAGCTTCCATAATGAATCAACAGCCAGTGGTGGCACGTTCGTTGCCGACGGTTGGGACTTTAAGGCGTGAAGCTTCGTTGCCGTCGTTCGTTACCAGTTCTTTCGATTCCCGCGGCTTTCAGTCCGAAAGGCGATAGTAGAGCTTCTTCTCGTTGATGTAGCGACTCCTCATGAAAGCGGCCCATATGGTGCCACGATGGGATATGGTGCATCACTAATCCGTCAGACCGAAAAATACCGAAACGAAAGCATCAAACATCGCAAGACCACTCTATTCAAGCATATCAGTAGTAGTAGCCTGGTAAAATCAAGCGGAAGGAAGAAAGACAAAGAATAACAACATCAAACATCATAAAACCATTGTTTAAGAGGGTCAAAACAACCACATAAAAGGAACAAAGAAACATAACCACAAATCACATTAACTTCGTTTGGCAAGACCATTTGCTTATTGAAAAACACCTGCTAAGGTGTTAGACGGTGAGTGATCGACAATGGGACATGAACAGCTGTAAACTAGGACGAGCGAAAAAGCGCTCAAGGAGATGACCTGTCATTACCCTGTCACGCAAAGTTGCAGTGACCTGTCACACCTTCTATCAATCAATGGAAGAAACGACCTCAATTCACTCCTGTTGAAGATGTTGAACGGTTTTTGTTGAGACTTTTGGGATCTGTTGCGCAACATTGCCTAATCTTCGAAGCGCCAAAGGTCAGCAGGATGTGTGTCAAATACCTCCGCCATTCCAATGAGAGGGTGCCGCGGAGCAAGTAGCGCAAGCACAGAACCGGCATAATCATGAAGACAACCTCGCTCAGGGGACTGTAGGAGTTGCCTATGATGGGGGCTTGTCGCCAATCAGTATAGTTGACGTGGGAGAAACACGTTTCTCACGTCTGAGAAACAAAAACCCCCTGGACCATCCTGTCTGGGTGTCTGATGCAAATCCCGGATAGCAGTGTAGGGTAGTGCATTGGACACCCATTGGATGGTCATGGTAGTCAGTAACTGCTGTGGGGTCTATGACGGCAGCTTCTCTTCTCCCGAGGTCCATTGCCCGGAAACCCTCGGGCAGCGCATGCTCGGGGTACATGAGGGTAGAAAAGAACATGTATGTATCAAAAACATGCACGCAACCACACGTTGTGTCTGTGTAAATTATTCGAACAAAAGACACAAAAAGCTCTGACTCCCCAAACATACCAAACCATGCAGTTGAGCCACTTTCACAATTTTCAGCTGTGCAGCATAGAACCTCAGGATCCGAAGGAGAATGAATTTGGCTACTGGGCACCGTGCCAGAAGTCCCGGCTGGCTTGCCTTCGACCAAGAATTTCCCGTTTTCTCCCCTTCATAACCCCTGGATCATTCTTCTTGTTGCCGGTCCTCTTGGTTCCAGTAGTCTTTTGTTTGCTTAATGTTGCCTTGAGGGGTGCCAAGATCTCACTCAATCTCACAAAACCATGCTCTGTCTGGGAACAATGATGGTCATGGTTTTGTTGGCGAAGCCGTTCTTGGCATGTCATGTTCCAATCACAATCATGATCTTCTAAGGGTACACTTCTGGTGTACTATGTTACTTACTATGGTGTAAACATTAATCATATGACTTACTGACTTGTTGATCTTGTTATTGCACTTCTGCCAGCTAGCCAGTAGCCCACCGAATCAAATACCAAACAACGATCTCACTTCCCGTGTTGCTTCTGGACCTCACGTCCAAGTGGCTGGTCTTGGTCGCGGTCGTGCAGCGCATTCTGGAACTCCCGTAGCGTGGTGAGAAAGAGCATGGACATCAACGAGAAGAGCAGCATCGTGACCTCAGAGTCCGCAAGTGTCGTTGGGTGGCCGGAAACGGGTCGCCAGCCCGCGCCAGCGGGTATGGTGGCCGTGGCTTAATGCTGTTCACGGTTAGGTAGGACAACCTGGAATCCACCTGATATGCCGCTGCTGCTATGCTTTCCAGTCCAGGTAGCCACAAATCCTACTTTCAGAGAAGCTGCATGAGTTGCCAAAGAATCTAGGCAAACGGAGGCGTGAAAAGGAATACTCAATTCTTGCATTTCACCTTCTTTTCAACAAAACACAAGAAAAAATAACATATTCTGAGATGCCTAAAAACATCTAAAAACTAATCTTGGGATTTTAAGGAAAACACAACCCTTGGGGATGTTGAGACGCCCAAAGCCTGATCTGAAGGCTGCAACCGGACCTGTGCAAACGACAGGGCAACCTGTTGGGTTCGTAGGCTTTTTCTATGCCTTTGAGCAAAAAAGCTCAAAAAGACAACACACATCATCAAAGGACTCAAAGAGGATCCGGAATCCTCAAATCCTTGCACTAGACCCCCAAGAAGTGAAGCACTTCCAGTACGGGTGATCAAAGGAACCGTTGTTGCAAGGGTGATCAAAGCATCGAGAGGGTGGTTTACCCAAAAGGATTCTCGCATTGGATGTTCTGCGGCTGCATGGTGCAGGTGCAGAACTCTACAAACATCCACAGCTGAGCTCAGCTAATCCCAGTCAAGCTTCCAACAGGGTGAATGCCAACCTTATCACGAAAAGAACACACCACGTCGCATGTGCATGATGAACAAATCTGGAGGATTCTGGAGGAAATGAACATACATGAGGCCATGGTATAGTGGGAGGGTGGGTTTCAACGATTTGGAACCGGTGGATTGACAGCTATTCATGTCATGTGGATTGATACTGATATGCCATGTGCCTGGTGTCATGAATCATGTGGATTCAAGTTTTCTTGGATAAGCATTTATAATCTATAAGTCATCTTTTGTGAGGTTCTCCACCTCATGACACGAAGCTTCAAGCTCCAAACACCGCGAAGGTATTTCACAGAACTTGTTCAAGCTCTTGTACTTCCATGGGATGCCAGGCAAAAACTTAAAAGAACTCAAATCCTTCCGCCTTCCCGCTGTTTCGCGAAACGTTGGTCGTCCGGTTGGTCAGCGCACAGGCCAGGCCAAGTGTCGTCCATGCTTTCGATCTACTCTTCTTGTCCCGAAAGAAGCTGCCAGACACCAGAAGCACCGCGCGGGACAGCCTCAGATGTGTCACGTTCCTGTGCACCACCGCTCCGGTTTCCGAATGGGCCCGGCCCTTCGTCGGCCAAAGTCAATGGAATTTTCTGTGAATGAACCGCTATCGTGAGCGGTTTCCAAGCGGGAAACGGACTCCAGGAAGCAGAACGAACGGGTTTGTAAACGGTGCATTTCACCAGACCTACGTAAATGCTCTTAATTATTGATGGGACGAAAGCCGATCATTTTGGTGGGAAACGGCGACGGAACACATAGATGATCAACAGGTTTGATCTTATGGGAGGATCTTGGTTACTTTCACTTAGTCCGGTCCGCGGCCTGGACGTCTGGGAGTCTGGTCAAGGTTCACGATCATCTTTTCTTGACTGGATTCGTCGCTTGGGAGAAAAGGTCATGATGGGAAGTCTGCTGTCACACACCTAGAACTGACCTTCCATCCTTCCAGATCCTTCCAGCCTTCTTTGTTCATCACATCTGCAAGCAACCAAGAAGCATGAGACAAGCATCTGCCCTTACTGCCCTTGCAAGTGGTGCAACTCAAATCACTGAGTGTCACTGAGTCACCTGGAATCTGTTTTTTGAGAAGGCTCGTCCCTAGGACGAGCCACGAGTGGCACGGAACGGAACGGATGGGATCACCAAAGGCTCGTCACCTGTCGTGAATCCTGCAGCTGCCCCTCCTGCAGCTGCCCCTCCTGCCAAGAGAAGCACACGAGAAACCCCCGATGTTCGACCCTCATGACCCGGCCCTGCGACAGTGTCGGCACAGTGTCGGCACAGATGCAGGCCATCTCACTTCGACCCTCAAATGGGACAAGCCCATCCTGCCACACCACACAGGACTGTGGTCGAGAATGATCCTATATAGGACCATGGTCACGCAGTCGGCAAAAGTGCTAAGTGCAGGCTGCGAAGCTGTCGAAGTTGCAACCTGTCGACCTTGGACGGGCGCTGGGCATCCAAGGCCCACGCCGTGTGGTGGATGGCGTGTTTGTTGGTCAAGGACCCTCAGTTCACAGTGCCTCCGACGAAAGTGGATCTTGACTTCCCAGGGCGTTTGCTAAAGAAGTCTTTTCACCCAGTATACTGACATGTACTGACTAACTCTTATAACTTATAAGTCCAATATTAGAGTTGGTCAAGCTGAGCAGCGCACGAAAAAGGAGAGCAGCAATCAGGAGATAGGACTGATGCACATACTGATCAAGAACTTGCATGGTCTCTGAAAGCTTGTTGTCACACGTACCTAGACACGTGGACCCCCCATTGGCTGCCTGTTGGGCTACAGAATGTGCCAACATCTCTACGCAAAATCGAGTCTTTGGATGTCTTTGGGGCATTCTTTGCCGGGCAATACTCGAATCCCCAAGTGATCACCAAATTCAAATCCGATAAGAAATGCAACGAGAAACCTCCAAACACCTCTTTCTGAACCATACACTAGCCACCGACCGCCCCAAAGCTGTAGTCGAACATAGTCGAACACTAGCCACTGAGTCAATCCTTTCTATCCTTCGACCGTTTACGTCGGGGTCTCCGGTACCCGACATCATACAAAGCAACAGAGGTGGATGGAGCCGATAGACTCTAATCCCGAGTACCTATTAAAAAACGGACCCCAATTAAAAAAAAGTCATGCCGGATCCCCTAAATTTGGTTTATATTTGGTTTTAAATTGCCGCCCTTTCAAACCGCTACTAAACTACCAACATGGTCGATTTTGGGGGTAGTTTTTTTTATTAGGTTCCCCAAAACTCCACCATGACACGCCGCGCTTACACCAGCAGGCTTTCCTTCCCTCAATGGCACGGACTCACGCAAACGCACTTGCCACCGAGGTCACGCAACACCGCATGGCACAGCGACATCACCTTTCGAAAGCTTTAGCTGTTAGTCTACTGAAGAATCACTATTCTAATGAAGGTTTTTGTAGGGGAAAAGGAAGACCCTTCGATCTGGCGGTTTTTTGCATTTTTGATATGAGTTTAATAAAGGATTTTATATAAAATTTTCCTGGATTACTTTTTGGTTTTGAAACTCTTTCCAGGTGACCCTATTTTGGACACCCCGATTTCAGGGACCCCCTATTAAAAAAAATGCGACCGAGGTTTCCTTATTAGGGGGGGGGGGGGGGGCCCGTGTTTATTATTAGGGGGACGGGATTATAGACTAGCCGCACCCATTAGGTACCCCAGGTGATTCCGGGTACCCCAGGTGATTTCAGGTCACTTTCACCTCTCTTCAAAACCTCGTCGTCGTCCAAGCGGCTCTTGGTGCAAAAGAGGGATCTGCCGTCGAGGCGGATGTTGGCGTGAAGGAGGGACTGCCATTGGCGACTCCTGCAGCAGCAGGATCACCTGGCGTTGGAAAGAAGTGGTGTGATTGAACAAAGTATGGTGAATGATGGTTCCAATTCCCAATTAAAACCACCACCCAGAATAGATGTGTATATATTGGAAAAGGGTCACCCCAAAACGAGCTACATTAATAATTAAGGCCACTCAAATGCTCTCCAAAGATTCCGCAAGATCTCAAGATTCTCCGCATTTGGATTTTCCTGAAGCTGTACTGGTACAGTCGGAATTCACAGAGCGAGAACAAACTCAATAGAGGTTGACTGCCAAGGATTAAATGAGCCTCCATACCCATTCTTTTAAGGACATCGCGCCTTGGGAAATCCCATAACGTGTGATTTTCCGCCCCAAACGCTCGGAGTGTCTTGGGTCATCCCGTTGTAAGTCCGCTTGTCGCCCACAATTTTGTTTCTTTTAAATATAGTGCTTTAACCTCAATCGTGTTGGGGTCGCTTCCCAAGCCTGTCATAGCAAGCCAAACGATTATACAATGTAGGTTTGAAAGCTTAAACATACTTCTACTATAACTATTGTGGTTGCAAGCGAGAGAGGCTGAGAGAGAGGCTCCAAGGGGTGCTGAACCAAACTTTGCCGTTGACGCATGGGTTCAGGTTTGTGACATGGTGACATGGATCTGCCTATCCGGATAGACCAAACACCACGGGCTTTAAACAAAAAGAAACACACATGATTTGATCCACAGTCTTGGCCCTAACTCGACCCCAAACTCGGCCAAAGAAGATTTGCATGTCATTGGAGTGAAAATCCCTCTTGATCGGCTTGGTTTTTCTCAGCTCCACCCAGTTCCGTGTCAATCCTTCGCGGGACTAGAGAGTGTATTGGGTTCATTCGCTTCGTCACATCCGGGTGAAACAGGAACTGGAAGAACCCTAGTAGCAAGAAGCTACTAGGTTGGAGGCCATCGCTAGTAGGTTGGAGGCCATTACTACTAGTAGCAAGAAGCTACTAGTAAGGCACCTTGCTACTACAAGTAGTGGCACTGGAAGTGACATGATAACGATCAGAATAGGCAACGTACTTGTCGGATCCTTTTTGCACTGGTTTCAACCTTTAAAAGTAATTGCGTGCATGTGCTTGATTGTCTCCCCCAGAAAGTGCACCATGGATGTTGATCCCGGCCTTCCAGGGACTTGTAGTACGACATGGGGGCAGCCGGGGCAGCTAGAGCAGCGGCGTTGCCATGCACTGGCTGCTGGTTTGGTGCTTCAACAGTCCGAAGAACACTTTGCTTTGAATTGGATTGAATTGGTGCCTTGACCGTTCCGGTCTTTTTTTGTTGAAGCTCTTCAATGTGGCAATAAGAAACAACATCAGTTGCTTTCCTCTCGCTGTATGCTAGAGGATGCTCAAGGGTGCTTGGGGACAATTTAAGTGATGGCAAAACTTTTTGCTAGGACATGCTTGAACTAACGTCGATACCTTTATTGTCCTTTATGTTTATCTTGCTTCCAAACCAAGACTCAGGAATTCTAAGTTTTTGCATCTTGAGGACTCTTTGCCAGGCACCTGTTGGACCACCTATCACTCAACTCATCTCAACCCCAACAAAGCTACCCATCGCCCAAGCCCAACACAATCAACCCACACACTGGGAACGGCAAGGAACCAACCCACCTGACATGCAAGCCAGCCCCACAAGCCCAAGCCAGCCCCCAGCCCCAAGGGGTTGCGCTCTGCTTCGGATCTCCTGCCAGGGTGGTCGAGGTAGCTTCGCCTCCACCTCCACGTGGTGTCCACGACGTTCGGCGGTGGCTTCGCCTCCACAAGAAGGCAAAGCGTGTAGCCAAGGTGTGAGAGAGGTGGGTGCTAAAAGTTAGTATTTAAACATCATAAAATATCATGAGCATTGCACAAGCTGCACATAGTCAATGCACCGACCATTGGTCCGTGATCTTGCCAAGTCCAAAAAATCCTCGAACTCCGATGCCAACGCCGATCTGCCGACCATGTCACCCACATCAGTCTCCGTCTTCGCCCTCACGGCCCCTCGGCATGAACCTGGGACTTCGGTGTTAGACCCCCGCCTCTGGACCCGCGTCTGGACCCTCGAGCGAATACACATCCGCCACATCCGCGCCTCCTTTGATGCCGATGAGCACATAGCCCTCCTGTGACCGTCCACCCGAGATGGCCGAGGTGGCGCCCACCCGCCGGAGGGCGCGCATGGCCTGAAAGGGATGGAGAAGACTGATGGGGCCTGGAGGAGGGAAGACTGGAATTGGGCAGGGAAGGGAAGGGATTCTCTGATTTTGGCATGGAAGATCAAATCCACTCTCATCCACCTCATCAGTCACTGTAGAAGCCCTGTAGAAGCCTCCCCAAAGTGCCAGTGACTTCACTCACTTCTTCCATCTTCTTCCACCCATTCCGCCCCCATCCTGCGACTCCAATGGATTTTCCTCATGGTTCCTCCATCCTCCCAGCTCTGCGCAGTCCCTCCAGCTCTCTGCGCGCCCGGGCGGCGCCGCTGAGGGACTCCAGGCCACTGCCGCGCACGGCCACCAGGACCACTCGGCCCTCGTGGTGCCGAGGTTCCACCGGTGCGGCGCCGGTATATAGTATATTAGAAGTACTAGGTATCTACGGCGCTTCAAAACATGAACTGGGAAATCAAAAAAAAGGAACAACTCAAGCAGGTCGGGATTGAAGTTAACTCAAACAAATACTTTAATACGGGGGGTGACTTCACGTATGAAAGTCACTGCCTCAGAGTAAACAAACCTGCAATATACCTTCTCCTGCTGAATCTAACTACTGATGAAGCTTCGCTGTGTATCAATCATCTTCACGTGCTTGAGATTGACTCACTCAACTCCAAGTCATCCTTGTACAATGTTTGTCCTTCTTTTGCTCGCAGTTTGCTAATCGGAACTTCTCCCTTTCGTTTTCCGGCCTCCGGCAGGGCGTTCAAGTCGGTTGCCAGTTGCGCCACGGCCTCGTCAGAGCCGGTGGGCTCGGTGGGCGGCACTTGGTTGGTTGGTTCATGTTGCCTCGCTGGGTATGTGGCACAGCACCAGATTTTGTTTCCCAGGTTGGAGCATTAAGAAACACCAATTCCTCCCAGGTGATAGAAACATATAAATAGACACCAACATGAATTGAACAAGCATTTGGACATGCGACCTCCAAGTTGATTTCTCTGTTAATTCACTCAACTTGCAAAAACCCGTATCCAACTGCAAGAATCCGAAGTAAGAATCCCTTCTGAGGCTCACCTGACCTGCGTTCTTTCAGGACCGCCCTTCGTTGGGCGCAGCCTCCCGGTCGACCGCGTCGCCCTCCGAGTCTCCCGGGCCACTTGCCCACCGCCCGAGGTGTCGTAGCACCTTCGTGACGGGCCGAAGGACTCGGAACCGGTGTAGTAGACGACTACGATCCGTGTGCTTCGGAAGATCCAAGGATCGCGGGTCCCCAAAAACCGAGGCTATGGTCGTCATGGTTTCATTAATTATAGATCACATCATATCACATCCAACTTCAGATGGGGCCAGAAACGATCTCGAGTTCTAAACCACAACCCAAAGACTCCTCGTCCGGGCAGCCTCGTCCTTTGGAGGGGAGCCACCGAGTGTCGGGAGTGTCCGCCCGGCGCGACGGTTAGCCCTTCTTTGACACTTTGGATGCCTCTTTGTCGGTTGCCCTTCACTGTTAGGATATGTGAGGTATATCTCCAGGTTCTTTTCCTCTAACCTTTCCTCTTTATAGATCATGTTATACCCTCAAACCACTCACCCTCCAGAGACCCCAATATACAGAGAGATCCCCCCAAAAAAAAAACATGCATCCAAACCTTCTAATGGCCACACACCACACCACCATGGCCACACCGCTTCTTTGGCCGGTACCTGACGTGTCCCGTGTGGGGCCCCCGGACGTTGCGGAGGTCACCTGTTGAGTATCAGGGTCCAAGGTCACCACGTTAAAGCCGCGCCTGGAGGTCGCCGAAACCGCGGATGACTAAAGCTATTTCGAAAGGTAACTAAAGGTCAGGTGTCTATATTGTGTTTGTTGTATGATATGGCACGGGGCACAGCTTTTGGGGGAGTTTGCCAGATAAAGCTGTCTGTTTTCACTTGTGTTATCTTGTGTTTATCAGTTACAGGCTGATAAGTACACTATAGTCTAAGCAGCCCAACGAACTACATCCAGTTCGAAGCCCCCGCGACCGTGCCCCATGCCTCTGATACTCGTGCAGCTGCCACTTCCCGGATTCCAAGGGCACTTTCTTGCCATCTGCCGAGCCAATCGGAGTGGAAAAGGAAGGGGGGCCCTGAATGGAGGGCTCCACAAACCCCCAGGGAGAGAGACGAAATGGCAGAGATGGCCTAACCCGGCATCAAACTGGACCCAACAAACTGGAGGATTTGGACCCTGCAACGGGCCTTAGGGGTTTCGAACCCACTGGGAACCTTCAGAGTTTATTTCAGTTCATCCAACATCCCAGTGATGCAGAATGTGAATGGACGCGAATCTTGGAAATGGACGTCTTGTGTTGAGTCTTGTTCGGTTCGAAGGTTATGAATGGAGACACCATCTGTGAGATGAAGTCGGGATTTCATAGCGCATAGAATCGGGTTGGTATCGGAAGTAGAACAATAATTTTCCTCGTGGCTCAACCTCGGAAGGAAAACTAAGCTACTAATGCCGTCTGATTCTGATCTGGACTGACACGGACCCAACAAAAACAGTCTCCAACAAAGGATGCATTCCATTCCATCTCCACAAGCGTGTTCTGCAGGTAAGCTGCAGGTGACGTGTCATTGGGAACGACCAAACCTCAACCAAATCCCCTCCGAGTGGCCTTCCGATTCGCGGCTCAGGAGGACTGCAGGTGATTTGCGAGTCCTCCTGAGCCACTCAAGTTGCCTTTGCCTGTGCTGGTGCCTGCTCGCCAACCGCCGCCTTGTCTGGGACGTGCGACCGGGGGTCGAGCCGACCTCTCACCGCGCGCGTCGCGGGAGACGTCCGTCGCCTAGGTAGAAATCGGCACGATTCCCGTGGCGATAGGTGGAGCTCACCACCTCGCGCGGAGAAAGGAGGCACAAAGCGGCGACAGTGAGTGTTGGAAAGGAAGACCATGCGTTTGGAAAAGAAGACGCTCTAATCAAAGTGGCAGGTCAGGTCTTAGGGGCTTGCTATACTTTATTTTTTCCACATAGTGTTTTCTACTATGTTCCTTCATGGGCATGTGGAATGTGTGAAGATTGAAGAACCTCCAAACAAAACGTTGAAACAGTGAAAAAAACACACACACACAAAACTAAACATACAGTTGCCTTTGGGGGGATGACTTCATCCACACCACAACACGGACCTTGCAATCAACCACTAGGCCGGCGGACCCGGGCCACTTTTCGCTGTTGCTGCTGCGGTTGTGGGGAGAGGGCTCCTGCGTGAGGCATCATCTCATCACCTTTGTCTGGTCTATAATTCGTCTATACTATACAAACAAAGAATGAACCTGGCGGTTCAGGGGCACTTGATCAGAATCTGATCACAAAAAAGGAAAAACATAGAGATCCCACAGGCTGGAGAACATAGTCTTGACTCACTCACTATCACTGATACTCTGGTGCTATGACTGATACTCTTGAGCTAGTGTGAAGGTGTGGTACTGTTGACCGTCCGACACCACAGCTCGAAGAAGGATGGACATCCGCACATCTTGGGACAGCTTCGAATGAAGCGAGGTGAAGCGAGTGGGTAAGCGGTATGGTTTTGTCCTGGTCGTACCCAAAACGTGCTTGTGACATGCCATGTGACCGGAACGAGGTATCATATCTTGAGCATCGGTGAACGGGAGGGGTAGCATGATTCTTGGTCATGTGTCGCCAGTAGCGCTGCAAAAAGAGCCAGTCAAACAATTTCTCATAGGTACCACACCTTTTTTTCCTGATGTTCTATAGCAGAGTTCTGGCTTATTGGAAAACCCGCCCCCCAATCCATCCCAATCCATCCTTCTAGCCTAGTTCTAGGATTCTGGAACCCAAAACCACCCCGGTCCTTCAAACAAGAAGGAAGACCCGTTGTGGTTGTGGGAACACCCGTCATGACCGGGTACACGTGCCGCGTGCCGCGTGCCGCCCCTTCACCTCTTCGCACGGCGGCTCCCGTCCTTTCCGTGAGGGTGTCTTGACCACCACCTCAGTTGGTAACACAGCAGGGAGAAGCGCCAGGAGTCGCTGCTTTGAGGCTTCAACTGAGAATCGCTACAGTCTCGATTGAGGCTTCAACTGCTTTGAGGTTCTTTGATCACTGGAGTCGCTGCTGCTGCTACTACTGCTGCTGCTGCTACTACTGCTGCTGCTGTTGTTGCTGATGTGACAATTAGGAACCCAACTGCCAAACATGAGTCACCAGGTCCACCAGGTCCATCGACGTCGGCCCTGGCGTTGGGCACCCGGCACCAGCATCTTTCGGCCAAATACTGCGAGGCGATGAGACGATGAAGAAGCAAGACACCACTGGAACTTTGTGAACATACCCAGTACTTGCTATATAGATTAAGTGTTGCAAGTTGTAAGGGTTGATTCTAGTATATATAGAAACCTATATATTTTTAAAAAAGTAACAGTAAAGTGTCTTAAGACCTCGAGGCTATATGACCAATCGACCAAACAAGCGCAAGCTGATGCAAGCCGTCCGAACTGGGCGGTAGGGAACTCGGTTGAATCTGCTGGGTGTACAAGGATATGAAAAGAACGTGCAATTCAGCACCTACCACCCATGCCTGCCCGGATCAGCATGTTCCAAGCAAAACCTGGGATAGCTTTACTACTGCTCAATGCAAACATGTCAAATAGCATGTCCTTGAACACCTGGTCACCTTGTCTTCATGGACACGTGAGATGCCGAGTCATTCAGCAAAACAAATCATGTAGCCTTGACTCACTAGAATGTAAGTAGACCCTCCAGTTTGGGCCCAGAAGGCTCGTCATAGTCATCCGAAATCGGGTCCATGCCATCCACTTCACGTGAGTGTTGTTCGTCCCTTTGGGGTCCATACATGAACCGATCAGAACCCAAACGACGCCGTGCGCAGCAGCCCGCTCGCAGCAGCCCGCTCGCAGCGCAGCACCCAGCACGACCCAGCACGGAAAACCAGGTCGCCCAAAGTGACCCGCTCAAAAGCGCTCGCCACGCCTCTTGGGGATCTGAACCTTCTTGCCTGGTCATGGCAGGTCATTCTTCCAAAAAGGGATTTAACCCACACGAAAAGAATCAATCGCAGCGCCTGATCAGACAAAGCGATCCGCAACGAAGCAAGGAAGAAGAAGGACAACGTGTACGGAAAATGGAGCTGTATCATCATATTGCAAAGATCACACACCGTCTCAATGAAACCTATGTGGCTGTTCTCTAGCTGCTGGCTTGTTTCTTGGTTCTATGTTAACAATACGCGTCTTCTTTGTTTCCTTGATATTTCACCAAAAGCTGCCCCCACTGTTTCTGCCCAGCCACTGCAGTGGGGGCAGGTGAAGGAGGGCGGAGGTACACCTGGGCGGTTTGGATGAGCTTCTTTGGGAAGCTAACCAAGGTGCCCTAATATAAAATCCAGTTCACCTACGCCCTGCTAAATGTCTTTGGGCTTAACTTGACCATCGCTACTAGTACCAAGTGCATCGCTACTACTACCAGGACCTTCCAACAGGTGGTATGTTTTTGGCTACGGGTGTAAAACCGAACGTGTGACTACTGCGATTTTTGAAGTTGATGCTACGTGAAAGGTGGGGGGTTGGGGTGGGGTGGGATGGGGCATAATGACGTTCGTTTCCACTTGCTATCTGAAGTTGATGCTACGTGAAAGGTGGGGGGGTTGGGTTGGGGTGGGATGAGAACATTGTCATCGTTTTCACAAGTAGTCTTCGGTTTCATAGCATTGTCATCGGTTTCACCACATTTTCGGTTTCATAGCATTGTCATCGGTTTCATAACATTGTCATCGGTTAGTCGCGTGATTAAAATGGGGTGGGGGGGGGGGGGGGGGGGTTGTGAAGGAATGAGGATGTGGATGTCATGCTGAGAACATTGTCATCGATTTCACGACAAGTAATCTTCGGT